AGTAGGAGACGAAGTTATGTTATGTCAGATGTGTGTTGCTTCTTGCTTCCCAAAGTTTGAAAATGCATGGCATAGCGAAAATGTTTTGTAAATACATTTTATATCTTTCTTCTTTTCTACTTTCTTTCCTTCTTTCCTTCCTTCCTTTCTTCCTTCTTCCTTCCTTCCTTTCTTTTTCTCCTTCCTTCTTTCCTTTTTATTCTATCTGTGTCTGTCTGTCTGTCTGTCTGTCTGTCTGTGTCTCTCTCCCTCTATGTATGTGTGAGTGTGTGTGTGCATGTGCATGCACAGTGTGTGAGTGCATGTGGACCTCAGTGTGTACCTGTGTGTGAATATATGCTAATATGTGTGATTACCAGGGTATTTGTGTATGTGTGTGTGTGTAGAGGTTAGATGTGTTTGTGTGTGTGTGTATGTGTGTGTGTGTGTGTGTGTGTGTGTGTGTGTAGAGGTTTGATGACAATTCTTAGGAGTCAGGCCTCTCCTTCCACTATGTATATCCTAAGAATTAAACTCAGGTTATCAGGCTTAGCAGCAAGTGCTTTGCCTGCTCAGCCATGCAGTGGCCTACACAGGGTATTCAACTCCCACTTAATGAGAGAGAGAAGATAAAGCAGTAAGAGAGAGAGAGGCCATCAAGAGGAAAAATGGGGCCAGAAAGAATGTCAACTCAGGGTCTTCAGACCCCACTGACATGACTGAAATAAAACGAGAAAGGCCTGGGGATGAAGCCCCGTGATGAGGTACATCCTCAGAATGTGGAAGTCTTTGGGCTAGCTCCTTGTCACTTACACATGCAATTAAATCAGAGCTGTACTACTGTTTATCCTCCCAAGGAACTTACTCCAGATGCCTGCAGAGGTGACGATCTGCCTCAGTTCCCCACAAATAGGGATGCTGGGTCAGATAACATAGGTGTCTGTCTGCTCTATCTAAGGGCCTATACTTTTGGAATAGTCACAGTGAGGAAATGGGTAGAAAAATACCTTGAGGAATATTTACAGAGTTAAACATACGTCAAACATAAGTAGAAAGGGCCTACGTAGGGACAGTGACATCGACCTAGTCAGTCTGGGCTGTTAGTAGTCGGAATTTTTTCCCAGATACCTATTATCTGTCTACCAATCAAAAGTACTCTTGTAGAACATACTCATTAGAGTATATTGGCCACCAACCTTAAAAAGTCACTTTCTGTATGTGTAGCTAATAGATAGATAGCAAAAAGCCTGTGTCATTAATGATAACTCAAAGTTATCTTTTGGTCCACAGTTTTCCATGGTTTATTAATGGCCTAAAACATTAATTTTTCTTTCAGGGTGACCTTTACAACGCCATTAATCCTCCCGGCTTTTACCCAACTACATTATTTCTCATTATAGTCTCAGCTTTCAACATCTACATTTGTTGAAAAGAGAAAAGTAAATTGTAGTGGCCTCAAACCCTTGGAAAATATGAGGGCTGCAGATACGGTAAAAGGCTTTACAGGGTGGGGGAAAAAAATGTTTTATTACAGTGATAGAGAAAGCCATATGATAAGTACCATTAAATACATTCTTGCCTTTATAAAATATTTGGCCATATTTAATCATTGGGAATGCTGGTGTAAAACTATCTATAGACATTATATATATACATATATATATATATATGTATATATATATATATATATATATCATTATATTAGAAAGCAGGGTTTGAGTAATATTTTTAAAGTAGGCCATATGTCAACACTGTAATATTTATGACCTCCATTTGTTTAAGGAAGTGAATCCTTTTTGCCAGATCAAATATTTTCTTACACACTTAGTCTAGAGAAGCTGATCTAGCCTCCTGTCCTCTAGGACTCTGTGCAGAGGAGTTAGTGTCAGACCATAGCATTAAGAGGCACATGAAGGTTCCAAACGTTAGTTTTCTCTGGTTCTTACTGACTGCTGGCCCTGCCCCGTGCTGAGTCAGTACTAACAAACTACCTTGAGCTCTGCTTTATAGAAGTTATAGCATCTGAAAATGTCTTTCTGCTCTGTCTAGTTTTCAATTTCTCTTACTCTGGACCAATTTTCTATTTCTTTCTGTCTCAAAACAAAGACCCAGCTTCCACCTTCCTAAGGCATGTCCTTTTTCAGCAACCTTTTCTCTGTGCTATGAGAGTGTCCCCTCACTCTCTTTCAGGGCCATACATCTCTCTATTCTTCTCTTCCTCATTGGAGAGAAATATGTGACTGCCTATCTATCATCTGTCTGTCTATCCATCTATCATCTATCTCTCTCTCTTTCTATCTAATCTATTTATCACTTATCTGTCTACCTATCATCTATCTATCTATCCATCCATCTATCTATCATGTTTGTCTATCATGTATGTATATTTATATGTATGTATGTATATATGAATGTATGTATGTACATACATACGTACGTATCTATCTATCTATCTATCTATCTATCTATCTATCTATCTATCATCTATCTATCTATCTATCTATCCCTCCACCTACCCCCCTTTTAAACCTAGGTCCTCCTAGGTTAAAACTTGACCTCCACAGTTACCTCTAGATTGAGAGATTGGATTTATAAGAGACTCCACATCACTGACTGACTTGTATCATGCACTGGACTATCCCATTCTCCGAAGCACTGCAACTGGGAGTCTGGTGGGATCACTCCATTTGGTTTTCAGAATCTACCTATGTATGAACTCCAGCTAAAGCCCAGAGCTATTCTGCTTCATATTCAGATGCCTTCCGCTCTTCCTATGTGTAACTTTCTCCAGGGCTACCTTACACTACCCTATTGCTGTCTGTCTGTCTATGAGGTAATGGTTGACTTCCATGCATGGGGTTACTCTGTCATGTAAGTGCTTTTATGAGTTCAAAGGTGACTTGAGGTAATGACATCTATCCCAAACTGCTCACAGAAAGAAGATTGCTTTCCAGTGTGAGATTTTTCAAGTTTTTACCTGGAGCTCTGATAGTTGACTGGAGGCATTTCCATAGTGCCTACACGATGGCTTTCTCTGCAGTGGGACCTCCCTGTGCTTCTCATAGTTACTGCACCGACTGGAGACTTCCTGCACTACCAATATACACAGCATTTGATCTTTACTTTTTAAAAACAGTCTTTTTAAATAGTTTTCTACCTAGAAAAATGTGTGGTAGATTTAAAATGTGTTCAAATCATCTTTGAGATTTTTTTTTTCCCTTCAAAAGTTGGAGGCTGATTCCCTTTTTCTGGGGTTCAGTTTCAGAAGAGCAAAACAGACTTGGTGGGAATTTGGTGAGCTGGTCACAAACACCATAGCTTCCTCTACTCTTCTTTTGGGTCACTCACTGGAAAGTTTTTCTACCATGTGATGCTGAACTGCAGGGAAGGGTTGTGTGACCAAGAACTGAGGTCTCCAACTACCAGCTAGGCATCAAGTTGTCTATCTCCAGTGAGGTCCACAGTGGTCTGCTTGCCTCTCTGGCCAGCATCCCCTCTGTGATCATTTGAGCTATCTTAAGGCAACAATAAGTAGCTAAGTTCCCCCTTTGTAATTGAGGAAATGTACATTTAAGGGCAAGGTTTAGGGCTGGTTTTTATATCACAGTTAGCTAATATACTAGAGGCATCTATGGTTCTTTATTTCTGACCAGACACGCTCATTCCTAGTGAACCGCTCTAGTCAAGGGATCATCCCTGCATCTAACATCCTAGCTCTGCACTTATGTAGCAAACAGGGTCACAGTTTCCCCCTGAGCGCTTGTAACTAAATGCTCCCTTGTTCTTGTGATTCAACACACTCTAAATTTCTTAATTGTGTCTTCCAGTTTTGCCCTGCTTTCTCCTTGTTTACTGTTCACCAATGTGGTGCCCGTGACTTTTGTCAGGATATGCCTGCATCCCTCCAGAATCCCCTTTGCCTATTTCTATCTGATGTAATATCCCCATAACCTTATATGACAACAGTGTTTTCACTGAACAGTGTTGTTCAGTTGTCAATACTGTTCAGTTCTGATTGCATTGCTCTAGGAAGAAAAAGGTCAAAATCTCCTGAGTGTTCAACACCTCACTCCATCCATGGCTTTTACTACCCGCTGTTTGTTTGTTTGTTTTACATGTTATTTAGCTTTGTGCCACATGCTATTCAACTCTTTAGCAAAGTCCTTGCACTCCACAGACATATATTTCTCTAGATCTTTCCTCCTTTTTTAAAGCCTAGAATGTCTATGAATATATCGGTTCTTAAAAGTTCAGTTTGGGTATCGCTATTTGTAAGTTAGTCTAGCTTGATTCTTCCCAGTAGAATGTCGCACTCTCCTCTTGGACTTCAGGATTACAACTGTGCTCTAGAGTCACCTTCAGTGTTTATGAGTTATATTATAACGCCTCCAAAAGTGATTGTGTACTACACAGGGGCTAAACTGTGCTACAGGCTTCCCAATCAGACAGAAACAATAAACATGTCGATTGTATTTGTTTTTCTTCATGTATAAAAAATAAAAATAATACTGTTGGTTAACTCGTGAGAAATGATGGTTACAGGAAACCAAAGGTACCACTCTTCACAAGCCCAGGTTGTGTTCAACTGGAATTTCCAATCAGAATAGAGCAGAACAAACTTCATATCTCATGGCTGACCATTGACCCAAACAGAATGTAGTCCTCAGTATATAGTTTACATATATTCATACACATCACAACAATAAAAATAAACTCAGTGATAGGAAAAGGTAAGTCACTTAGGATCAATAATTTGGAACCAGTTTTCACTGCAATTAATCACTCATGGGTCTTTAAAAAATAAACTAAACGGCAAAGTTTCACACTTTCAGACTGTCAGGGTCAGTAGCAATCAGACCGAGTTAGAAATGTCACTTGCATATTTAAACCAGACCTTAGGAGAGACCTGTAACTCCAATTATATCTTCCTCATTAGCTCAGGCCATGTGTAGCCTTCTTAGATGATTTCACCCAAATGCCGCGAATGGAAAATCAATGAGAACAAGAGAAACATAACTTACCTATTGTGCTAACTCTTGCTGAAGGACTAGCTAACGCTGCTGGGACAGAGGCTTTGAGGGGGCCCGCCCCACTGTTTATTCTCAGAGCTGGCATGTGAGGAGAGGTGGGTGATGCAGGTGATTTGCCATCAGAGGTCTTGGGCTTAGCTGATAGGTTCAGTGGCTGGGCCACTTCATCCTGCAAGGATCATCAGAACATGAGCTGTGACAAGGCAAAGCAGAACAGAAACGTCTAGAGAAGCACAGGTGCACAGCCTGTCATTTCCCATCAGTCCCCTGAACATTTGCTCTCGACAGTACAATGTCTGCTTAGCTGCTGACATAGCGTCACTTTCAATCTCTCAAACAAGCCAGTTAAATTTCAGGCATCCTGGTCGAGGTGTAGAGGTAGGTAGCACCTGGACCACCCGTGGGTGTGTGGCTCTGCTCAGAACCTCTCTCTTAATGGAATATATATGGAATATATAAAGAAAAAGAATGTTCTAAGAAAACGATCATTTCCCCTATGTTTCACAAAAGCAATTTTAGCTTTTCATCTACAAATTAAAGTAAACATGATTAATATTATGGTAACATGTATTACCCAGACACCTAAATAAACACCACCATGGTCATAACATAAAATCTAGAAGATGCTCAAAATATTCCTTGGAAAATCACATGGTACAAATATCTGTCTAAGATCAATTCAGTACAGTCAGTGACTTCAGTTATTCTATGCATGAAGAATGTTGCCTGATGTATAAGCTTCTCTCTTAGCACCCAGGTTGCTATTCATATAACATTTATGAATACAATACTTCTGGGTTTCTGTTGCATCAGAATCAGACACAACAGCTCTACACTGCATCATTGCAAACCATTTCATTCCTCTGTTATGCTCGAAAGCCAGAACATCCTGGCAATTGTTATACCAGATCCAGTAGTACTTAAATTTTACTCTAGAATAAAGATTTCTTTATAAATACTATTTCATGAGTTAAGAGTATAGGTGATATTTATGAATCGCAAGAATTTTGTTTTAAAGTGAAATGATCTTTAATCAAGTAGGGCAAATAGATAGCCAAGAAACATATGCTAATTGCTATAAAAATCTAACTACTCATTATAGATATATGCACATATATCTATATGTACAAATTTACATATATGTTTATATATGAAAAAATTCTGGAAGCATTCTCACTACAATTAAACATTTATACCTCTTAAAAATAGACTAAAAAGTTAAAAGCCTTACATATAAATATAACTGCAACTTATAGATTTTCAGAGTCAGTAGAACACTGACAAATATGTGTAAGTGTTTGTATATATATATGGTGTGTGTACATCAACAAGTTATTAAAAATCACTTGATAAAGAAAATTGTTATTTCTTTATCAAAGGTATGTAGTAAACACTTGTGTTTTGAAAAGGGCTCATGATTAGGTTATAGATTCTGTGCACTTAGGAAACCTGTGAACAGACTAGGAAAAAGTATCCTTATAAGTTCTTTCTGAAGCTATGACTTATGTTACAAGGAAAAACACACTTTTAAACCAATGAAGTAATTCCTATTGGCCATCATATATCATTAGAAACATAAAGTAAGTTAATAGCTGTTATATAAAATTATATCCATTAATAGACTCTTGATAAGTAGTAAAATAAGATAGTTCTCTCACTGATGGGGAGATATGACTTGGAACCATTTTATACTTAAAAAGGTATAGAGGCCAAAGTATCCCCATCCTACTGAGTGTGAAACATTCAGTTGAGCTCTTCTGACAGAACCTACAGAATGCCTTGGTTGGCAGGAACTCAAAGTAATGCGTGTCCATTACACAGATATATAGTTCTGAAAGAGCTGTTCATGGGCCAGCACTGCCTGCAGATCCTGAGAATTGGTTCAAGGCCAACTGTTGCAGATGCTTGGAGGTGGGGCATAGCAACCTGGGTTTAAAGAAGTATTTTCCAGTGATTCTAATGGACTCTAAAGGTTGGCAGCTATTGACTTACAAAGGAGGCAATTTTAAAAGGTTATGCTAGGTTTCAGGAAGCTTCTTCAATGGAAGGGCACACAATTTAAAATATGCAATAGAACTATAGTCTTCAAAATTTGGATGAGATATATGCTAATAAAATTAGAAACAGTGTGTGGATAAAAACTTAGTGCTACAAAGATTGGCCAGGTGCAAGAGGTAGGATGGGGAATTCTGGGATAAGGATCTGTACTTCTCCATCAGTTAAGTCTAGTATCTTGACAGACTGGTAGATTGCTAATGCTACTTAGTGTCTAGCTGTAAATATCCCATGGGTTCCTCTCCCTGCTAGGTTTATGCTCTGTGTGAGGCCCGGGGCTTCAGTGACAGCCTTGGAACCTCCCAAGAATGGGATCAACAACTCTTGCCAAACGTTTCTGGGAAAGCTTTGGGATGGTAATGACTGCCCTTGAGTGTGTAGAAAAGGGATGGGAAGATAGGGTAGGCTGTATTCTGAGTCAGAGTGGGTGTGGAGTTCACAGTCTGAGAGCATACATGTGGACCTGGAAGAGGGGTGACATTAGCGGTGAACCTGAGGGGACTGGGGATCCTGACACGGTGAATGTCAGATGTCTGAGCTTTAAACAGTCACAGCTATTATAGGTGCATGCTGGCAGGTGACTCAGTTGTTTGTGAGTGCTATGGATGCACTGGAACTTTCAATATTTCCTTCAAGGCAATACAGTGTCTGAAAGGCAAAGAGTGCAGGACCCCAAGGACATATGACAGGTCAACAGTTCCAATTTGTTAGAAATGTCATTCAAATTTGCCCTTTCAGTCTCTCCTCCACAGTGTGACAGGCTAGTGGTGGATTTAATCAGAACTCACATGCATGATCTGAATGCTGGGAACGGCATAAATAATTTTGGCCCATGATAGTACATCTCACGGTTTGGTCAATTTTAATAATTTACTGCTGCTGAGATCATAAAGCAAGGGCCATTATTCATGAAGAACAGGAAACTTACAAAACCATCCCAATTTTCTATTAATTATTGTTTATTTGACTGGATACGAATTCATCATTTAATTGGAAGATGGGCTTGGCCTAGGGCTTGGGGTGTGTGTTCTCAGTGTTATGGGTATGCAAATAAACATAGAAGTTACGGCATTTTCTACATTGTGTTTCACTTGCAGTGTCTTATTTAGAAGAAAAAAACAATGAACAACCTGTCACAGCCAACCTCTATGCTTACCAGTAAAACATACATTAAGGTATAAATAAATAACTCACATGCAAAAGACACTAAGTATCTTCCAAGATCAGGAAAACATTTGTCTCCAATCCCCCAGCAAGCTGGGAGGAAAGCAGTTTCTTTTGAGTTACCCAACCAATTGTTGAACAAGGTTGCCACAATGAAACTTTTATAAACGTTGTTACTTTGTAATTATTTCTTTTCTACATAAAATGATAGTCTCCGGGATTTTATTTACTTTTTGAATAGCTCCAAATGATAAATGGTTTAGGAAAATCTAAACATAAACAGACATGTAAGCTGAGGTAAACATATTTCAACCCATGGAAGACGGTTATTTACATTTGCAGATCTCATTATAGATAGTCCAAATCACTTGTTTAATCTTCAATACCACAGTGATTTTTGTTTCTTTGTTGTCCTGATCCTCTAGCCTCTCCCTCTCAAGTGTGGGGTCACAGCTGTGTGCCTCCAGGCTTTGCCCATCACCTTTGATACAATCAAGTCACCAACAATTTATTGGAAGAAGCTCAGGCAGTTTTAGTGAAACTTCCATTTTTGGCTTCAACACATCATGCTCCTTTTGTTTGCATGATGAATTTTATCCTAGAGTTTAAGAGGCAGACTGGCTATGTCCTCTGAAGCTCTGATCTCCCTGTGTAGTTAATCATGTCCCATAATCATGCAAAGGCCTCAGGTAAAAGCCAGAGAGCGAAGTCATGCACACGCCTGCTATTTCACACACCAGTAAAAAGTGTTGGAGCCAATTTACACAACTTGGTGACTTTTTGCGATTCTCTATTGTCTATGCTACATTATGTAAAATATTTCATAATGTTGATATATTTAGACTGCCTGTTGAAAAAAACATTTCAGTCCTAGTATCATTAATTTCAATTTGACATAGTCAACAATTACATGGGAAAGGACTCTTTTTTAAATTCTCTTCTCATATCTTCCATTTGACTGCATTTGCAGGTCCTTCTCATCCTCCTAAGTTCCTCCCCTTCATGTCCTCTCTCCGTCAGATCCACTTTTCCTCTGCTTCCCTTCAGGAAAGTGCAGCCTCCAAGGGATATAAACTAAAGACTGCATAACATACTACGATAAGTGTCAAGACAGACCCGCTGCCACTGTTAGGAATCCCACAAGAACACCAAGCTACACAACCACAACATATAAGCAGATAGCTTAGGTCAGATCCATACAGGTTTCCCAGCTGTTGATACAGGCTCTTTGATTGTCGCTTCAGTCTCTGTGAGCTCTTATGATCCCTGGTTATTCTAGCAATATTCATAACTATATTTGTTATTTGCAATGCCCTCTGTTCCTTCTCTAGTAATATTTCAGCTTGGTATTTTCCAATTTTGTTATTTAACAACTCAATGCTATGAATCTTAAATACACACAAACATGCATGCACACACTTGAAAACATAGAAAGAATAAAGTATACCTTGTAGAATATCACTTATATCTTATACTCAATTTTAAGAAAGGAAGGAAGGAAGGAAGGAAGGAAGGAAGGAAGAAGGAAAAAAGTTTGGAAGACTTACATGAAAGAAATCCATTCTTCCAATACACAGCTCTCCTCTGATAGCCTATGAAGTGGCCCTCAATAGTACCTGCCTTCTGGTGTTTTGTGCCATCAGCCCCCTCTTACAATGGAAAGAGATTTCCTTTATCAATACTAGGGTGCTAATAGCAAGAATATGGGTCTGGGAAGATGGCTCAGTAGGCAGAGTACGTGCTGTAAAAGCAGGAGGGCCTGATTCTTATTTCTCAGTGGTCACACCTACCCATAAAGCCAGGGTTGGATACGTGGGGGCAGGAGGATTCTAGGGCTTACTGGCAGCAGGTCAAACTGAAACTACTAAGTTCTAGCTTCATTGAAAGAGACTGTTTTAAAAAACAGGATGGATAATGATTGAAGTGGATGTCCAATGCCTATCTCTGGCC